TCGGTTTGTCGGTCAGTCGTCAATTTTGAACAAAAGTGTGTTTCCGCTTCAATAAGAAAAAGAAAAATTTTTTTTGGTAACACTCGAAGGCTATAAAAAGGTTAAAAAGATTTCGGGGGTTACACTAACCGAATCTATAGCTTAAAATTTGATTTGAGGAAAACTCATAGCACTATTTTTTGGTATATATTTTGTAACGAATTTGAGAAATGAAACGAGTTTTTCTAAGTAATAGAATGAGAAAATAGGAAAAGAAAGAGAATAAGTCGATAATCAATATTTGAAAACTCTTTTTTCTACGTATTAATTTTCAATCACTTTCACACAATAAAATATTCTGCATGACACATTCTCCTAAAATTATTATTCAAAACACCATTTTTTAGAGAAGTAAATGAATTTTGCAAAGAAGAATGGTGTAAAATGTAAGAAAGGAATGAGATGACTGATAGGAAAAATGAAGTTTTAGGGTAGTAGTGAAATTTCATAAACAAGGAGGATCGTTCTATGCCGAGCAACTTATTCAACACTGCACCCGGCTCATTTAGTGTGGCCCGCTAACAGCTTGGTGCACGCATGGTACATGCCAACGCATGCCCGGACATGTTTGATGGCTAATAATTCAGATGTCAGCTCCAACCAAGCTGCCGAGTCATCACCTTGCCATAGTGTAGTCAGTGCTACTCAGCAACTTAAAAGCATGTTTGGAAGTTGTTTGTAAATTTCTCAATTATAAATAGACGAAAGTGAATGGTGGAAGTGGACGGTATTGTTGAATTGAATTAAAAATGACTTAATTGATTATGAGTAATCTATAAATATTAATCAAACATAGCTAAGGATTACTTATAAGTAAGAGGGTTGTGCAATAATTGTACTATAGAATAGTGATTGTTTGGATAGGATCAATTGTGCAAGCATGATGATTATTTACATAAGATGAATTAAACAGCTGTAACTATGCAACAACTTAATGATTATCAGCATGGAAATAACTGTGAAAGCACAACGATAATTTGGATAGGATTGATTTCGCAATAGCTCATTGATTATTTGTATATGAAAGACTATGCAAGAACAATGATTATATTTAGATAAGATCGTTTAAATATTCGATTATGCAAGCATAATGATTATTTGAATAATTATGGAAAATAAATATAGATGTGAAAATCATCTTCCCATCCCTACTTACCTATAAATAAAGGGTCAAATCTTAAGAATCTAGATCTTGAAAAGGTCCTTAAGTCATATAGTCATTTTGAAAAGCTCTCGATGTCAAAGATACGTCAAGACCTAAGAGTATCTTTATTGTTAATATGGATTATCTCTACTAATATAAAAGAGGCAATCCGCTGGCTACTGTTTATTTGTTAAGCATTTTGCATTCCCATGTTATCCCCCATCAATTAATTGTTTTCCCATTTTATCCTTCCCACACCAAAATTTGGCTGTCTTTATTGATTTAATTGATACCATTATTTATTTATA